TCTTCTTAAATAGAATTTTTATTAATTCTACCTCATGGGCTAGGTTGTGGCTCAGCCTTAGAGCTCTTGTCTGGCACGTGTGAGGCCCTGGGTTCAATCCTCAGTCCCACATAAGAATAAATAAATAAAATAAAGGTATTGTGTCCAATAAATAAATATAAAACAAAACACACGCATGCACAAAAAGTCTACGTTTATCCATGAGGATGGCCACTATGATAAAACAGACTATACTGGGTGCAGTAGCTCATACCTGTCATCCCAGTGGCTCAGGAGGCTGAGGCAGGAGGATCGCAAGTTGGAGGCCAGCCTCAGCAACTTAATGAGGTCCTAAGCAACTCCGTCAGACTCTGTCTCTAAATAAAATATAAAAAGGACTGAGGATGGGGCTCGGGGGTTAATTGAACCCCTGGTTCAATCCCTGGGACTCAAAAAAGAAGGGAAAAAAAAGGATTATTTGGACACGGGTGTGAGTGTAGCAACACAACCATGATCCCACTTACAGGAAATATCTTGAGTAGTCAGATTCACAGGGAGAGAAAGTGGAATGGCATGAAGGGTTGAGAGAGGGACAACCGGACTTCTTTAATGGGTGCACAGTTTCAATTCTACAAGATAAAAAAGGTCCGAGTTTGTTGGCCCAACAGGAGCCTCTAAAAACCACCGTTGACCTGTGCACCTACAAACGGCTAAGACGGGGTGCGGGCTGGGGATGTAGCCTAGCAGGCCTGAGGCCCTGGGTTCCATCCCCAGTGTCACCCAACCAAACCCAACTTTAAAAATGGTTAAGAGGTTCCAGCACCTTGGGAGGCTGAGGCAGGAGGATTGAAAGTGGAGGCCAGCCTCAGAAACTTAGCAAGGCCCTAAGTGAGACCCTGTCTCTAAATAAACTATTAAAAGGGCTGGGGATGGGGGTCAGGGGTTCAGCACCCCTGGGTTCAATTCCTAATATCAATAAAAAGGAGGAGGAGGAGGAGGAGGAGGTCCTGGGTCCCCCAACCATCTTCTGCTGCTCTGGGTCCCTGGAAGTTCCACTGTGAGCCCCACCTTTCGGCGTCACAGAGGGTCAAAGCAAGTCCCTGGAGGGGAAAGGGTCTGCAAAGGTTCCGAGACAGGCAGCCTGAGTCAAGGCATTTTCCCAGGAAATGGGGGTCCACTGTCCCCTTGATGGTCACTCTGAGAAAGGGATGGTATGGTGTGTAAGCCTAGGGGACAGAGAGGTCCCTGCCCCTTAGTCCTCAGGGGGGATTTTTGGCAGGATCTTGGAAACTCGGGGCCCTTGACCCCTGAGCCCCGTCCCCAGCCCTTTCTCTTTTTTATTTAGAGACAGGGTCTCCCTGAGTTGCTTCGGGCCTTGCTAAGTGGCTGAGGCTGGCCTCCAACTTGCGATCCTCCTGCCTCAGCCTCCCCAGCCATTGGGAGGACAGGCGTGTGCCCCTGTGCCCGGCCCTATTTTATTAATTTCCTGTGGCCCTGGTGATCTTCAGGAGAGAGTCAAGTTGGAGGAAGTGACTGAGGTAGAAAGCTTTCAATCTTTTTAGACAAAGAACAATTGTGAAGGCAAGACAGGGCAGTTCTAGAAATGTTATGAGAATGATGTGGAGGCTGGTGCAGAGCAAAGGAAAGATAAGGTCACTTCAAAGGACTGTTTATTCAGGCCAGCTGCTGCCCCCACCGCCAGTCTCTGAGGCTCAAGGCTATTTTCCTGGCCTTGGTATATAGAGGACATCACTTCCAAAGAAGGTTTGTCTTGGTGTTTTGCAGAAAAACACAGAAAAGTTTTTTGTTTTTTTTTGTGTGTGTGTGTGTGTGTGCCAGGGATTGAACCCAGGGACGCTTAACCCCTGAGCCCCGTCCCCAGCCTTTTTAAAATTTTATTTAGAGACAGGGTCTCGCTGAGTTGCTTAGGGCCTCACCAAGTGGCTGAGGCTGGCCTCCAACTTTCATCCTCCTGCCTCAGCCTCCCAAACTGCCTGAAATTATAGGCGTGCGCAAACACACACAAAATGAATGTTTTTTTTTTTTCTTTTTGGGTACCAGGGATTGAACTTGGGGGTTCTCGACCCCTGAGCCCCCTCCCCAGCCCTATTTTGTATTTTATTTAGAGACAGGGTCTCACTGAGCTGCCTTGCCATTGCTGAGGCTGGCCTCCAACTTGTGATCCTCCTGCCTCAGCCTCCTCAGCTGCTGGAATGACAGATGTGCGCTAATGCCCTTTTTGTGAAGTGTGTGTTTCTCAAGCACTTTTAGCTTCGAGTGATTCCTATGCCGACTTGACGTATTTCGAGATGGCACATCTTTTCAGTCCTCCAGGAACCTGTGAGGTGGAGCCCTCTCTTGTCTCTAGGTCCCCAGCCAAACACCCGCAGCCCTCCAGCCCTCCCCAGCCACAAGCAGGACCTGGCTAAACCCTTCCACTGGAGACACACCCCGCAGGGCAGGAGGCCCTTGGAGTCGCCCTTGATGTCCCTGTGCCAATCTGTGCCTGGTTTGCCCACCAAAGCAGTCTGGGCTTCAGGGACACAAGCTTGGCCTGAGGCTCGGGCCCTTGGTCCCACCTGGGCTACAGACAGGAGTCAAGACCAGGAGTCCCAGGGAGCCGCCATGTCCTTGAAGGCCACAGGGCCAGAAAGAAGCCCCCTGACACCTGGAGGTGAAGTCCCAGCAGCTCGGGAGGCTGAAGCAGAAGGATCACAAGTTGGAGGCCAGCCTCAGGAAAAGCGAAGCCCTAAGCCACTCAGCGAGACCCTGTCTCTAAATAAAATATAAAATAGATCTGGGGAGGGGGCTCAGTGGTTAAGCACCCCTGGGTTCAATCCCCAGTACCAAAATCATCATCATCATCATCATCATCATCATCCCAAAGCAAATGTGAATAATCATCCAGTAAATTATGAGAATTTAAAAAAGAAAATGTACGGGCTGGGGTTGTGGCTCAGTGGTAGAGCATTTGCCTAGCACGTGTGAGGCCCCGGGTTCGAACCTCAGCACCACGTAAAAATACATAAAATAAAGGTATTGAGTCCACCTACAGCTAAAAAATAAATATTAAAAAACTAAAGTAAATGTATTGTGTCCATCTACAACTAAAAATTTAAAAAAGAAAAGAACAGAAAAAGAAAATTGCCAGAAGTGGTGGTGCACCCCTGTTATCCCAGTGACTCAGGAGGCTGAGGCCAGAGGACAGCAAGTTGGAGGCCAGCCTCGACCATTTAGGGAAATCCTGCCTCGGAAGAAGAGGGAAGGGACCCCAGTGAGCAGGTTAGAGCCCACGGGTGTTCCCTATGTCACGTGCACTGAAAAAGGAACAAATTGAAAAAAGAAAAACCAGAAAGGGCTGGGACGTGGCTTCCTGGCAAAGCTCTGGGCTCCACCCCCAGGGCCACAAAAGCAAAAGGATCAAGCGCCATGTCAGTCAGGGCCAAATCTGGAGGCCACGGTGCAAGGGCCCTGTCCTCCCGCGCGGCCTAAGGACAGTGGGGTGACCACCACGCCCTGCAGTCGGAAGGAGGGCGCTCAGAAAGAGCTGGGAGAGCAACAGGCGGCGCCCCGCCCCCCCCCCCCCGGCCCCCCCCCCCCCCCCCCCCCCCCGCCCCACCCCCCCCCGCCCGGCCCCGCCCTCCCCTCCCCTCCCCTCCTCGCTCGACTCCGCCCCTCTCTGCGAGGCAGCCCCGCCCGTCCCGCACTCCCATTAGCAGGGCCAGGGTCTGCGCTGCCCTCTGATTGGTGGAAGTTCCATCCCTGATTTGCATAGGGCCCAAGGCCAGCACCCCTCGCCCCGCGCCCGGCTGCAGCGGAGAAGCGCGGCCCGGCCACACCCCGTGCTCTCGGGTCGCCTGGTGGCTGCCTGTGGCCACCCGCTGGAGGTCGATTTGCAGGCTGCACACTCCTGGTTGCTCCCTAGAGGAAGAGAGGCCTGGCCTGGGTGCTCCTTGGGTCCCCTCCCGCCCAGCCATCCCCAGCTCGCTGCCCTGGCCAGGAACCCTCAGTTAAACCCTGGCCTGGTGGTGCAGGCTGTCATCCCAGCAGCTGGGGAAGCTGGGGCAGGAGGATCGCAAATTGGAGGCCAGCCTCAGCAATTTAGCAAGGCCCTAAGCAACTGGGTGAGACCTTGCCTCCAATAATAAAATATTTTAAAAGGGCTGGGGCTGGCTTCAGAGCCCCTGGGTTTCATCTCCAGGTGCCCAGCAGCCCCTTCCTCCGGCTGGGCAGGCGCACAGTGAGGGCTCAGGTTCATTGAGTGAATGTTCGCACGTACTAAGGGGAGAAAACAGTGATTCTTGCTTTCATGGATCTAAAGATGTGGGTGGAGAATCGGGGGGTAAATACTCAGAGCAATCAGTTCTAAAGGGATCCAGCGTTTGCAGACAGAGCAGGTCACAAGGCTTGGGGACAGCTGCAGCACTGGTTTACTCCCTATCAGCCCTGGTTCGGGAAGTCAGAGGGCAACAGCCCCATCCACAAGCCCAGGCACCCCGATGCTTGCTCTAGCCCAAGGCTGGGAAGCTTTGCACAGGTTTTGGGGGGCAGGGATGGCTTCCTGGCTGGACTCCATTTTCCCAGCGGGAAGGACAGGGTCTTGGCTCTGCACCAGGACTCAGGTGGATTTTCAGCTGAAGAATTCCAACAACTTCCAAGTATCAAGAGTGAAAAGAGATCCGACAAGGGGCGTGTCCCGGATTCCAAGGTTTTTTTGTAGCTTGGTGCTCAGAAAGCCCCACGGGTAATTCCAGCGGCTTGAGAGGCTGAGGCAGGAGGATCGCAAATTGGAGGCCAGCCTCGGCAATTTAGCAAGGCCCTAAGCAACTCATGAGACCCTGTTTCTAAATAATATATAAAAAGGGCTGGGGACGGGGCTCAGGGTTTAAGCGCCTCTGGGTTCACTCCCCAGCAACCCCCCCAAAATAGCTTTGGTTTGTATCTAAAGCTATTTCTTGGGGCAAACCGGGTGAGCTCAGGACTGACTCTTCCTCGACCCATGTCACTCTCCATCCAGTGCGTAGGACAAAGCTATCAAATATAATTTATTCAGGAAAAAAATAAACTTTAGGAACATAATTTTAACAGCACCTGGCGGCTGGGAAGAGCCTGGAGCAGTGGGTCCCCCTCATTCCCAGCAGCAGCCCCGCGCTGTGGGGGGGCCCACCGCCAAGGCCAGGGTGGCCGATCTGCCTGGGAGCCCACAGTGGCCAGCCTAACCAGGACCACACGCAGAATGCAAGGAGCCTCCCTGAACCTGAGCAACAGCCTCCACTAGGACCTCACCTGGGCCTCTCTGGAGGCCGCTATTGGCAGTGAGGACGCTTGGCTGCCGGCTCCTCCTTGTCCCGCTTCAGCCATCGGTCTAGGAGGCCGGGGGCCGCTCTCTTGGCGGGGGGTGGACTCCTCTGCAGGAACTGGCTGGTCCACTGCGGAACATCGGACTGGTCCTTTTGGGGTGACCTGGGTTCCTCCTTTTTGGGGGACTTGGTGGCCAGCCACTGCATCATCATCTGGCTGCTGCCACTTGCCTTGGGTTCCTAGGAGGAAGGAGAAGGTGACAGCACCCAGTTCAGGCTTTGGGGAAAGGCCCATGTGTGACTCCATCCACCGGTCATCCCAGCAGCTGGGGAGGCTGGGGCAGGAGGATCGCAAGTTAGAGGCCAGCCTCAGCAACTTAGCAAGACTGCCTCAAAACAACAAAAACGGGTAAAAACAAAACCCAGAAGGGAATTCGGTGTCACCAGGGGGTTGGGTTGGAAATGAGGCTGTGGACGTAAGGATGAACTTCCAAGAGCCACAGTGATGAGGGATTCAAGCTAAAGTCCTCCCTGTATGTGTGGCCTCTGTACAAGTTCTCCTTAACTTTGTCACTGCTCCCGCTGCTTCTTGGACACCCACAGCCCAAACCCAAACTGAATTAGCAAATGCTACCTGTCCAGAAAGTGACTTTGCTTATAGAGTAAAGACCATGCAGAAGCCTGGCGTGGTGGCGCATGCCTGTCACCCAGCGGCTCAGGAGGCCGAGGCAGGAGGATTGGGAATTCAAGGCCAGCCTCAGCAAAAACGAGGCGCTAAGCAACTCGGTGAGACCCTGTCTCTAAATAACAAAATTAGGGCTGGGGATGGGGCTCAGTGGTCGAGTGCCCCTGGGTTCCATCTCTGGTACCAAAAATAAACAAATAAATTAATAAATAAAAGTCCATGGACTGTAGCTCCTTCAACTTGTAGTTGTAAAAATAAATATAGAAAATAAATGCTGAAAATCAGTTGAGCTGGGGATGATGGCATATGTCCAGCAACTTGGGAGGCTGAGGCGGGAGGATCACAAGGTGGAGGCCAGCCTCAGCCACTTAGTGAGGCCCTGAGCAACTCAGTGAGACCCTGTCTCTAAATAAAATATTAAAAAGGGCTGGGGACGGGGCTCAGGGGTTAATTGAGCCCCTGGGTTCCATCCCCAGTACAAAAAAAAAAAAAAAAATCATATATATTGAGATAAGTGGGCAGAAAGGTGAAATCTGGGTTTCTGAGTCCACGGGTCTTGTTAACTGTGGAAGTGTGGTAGGATGAATTGGGAGGTGGAAAGAAAGTTGTTTTTTTTTTTTTTTTTTTTTTTGTGTGTGTGTGTGTGTGTTATTTTAGTATTTTTTAGCTGTAGTTGGACTCAATACCTTTATTTTATGTATTTTTACATGGTGCTGAGGATCGAACCCAGGGCCTTGACCCTGCTAGGCGAGTGCTCTACCTCTAAGCCCCAGCCCCAGCCCCAGCCCCAGCCCTTGTGTTGTTTTAATGAGCTGGTACGGTTGGTAATTTGATTTTCTTGACTGATTTTGTGTCATCACGGGGGTGTATGTCTGAAGTCCCTGGGGAGCTGAGCAAAATGAGGATGCAGATGTGGGCTGTGCGGTATTTGTCCCCAGCAGGACAGTTTACATCTGTGTGGTCTTGGCACAGGCTTCATGGATGTCTGGGGTGGAGTGTCTCCTGAGAGGTCACTGTGCCCCAAACTCAGCTGCGCCCAGGGGCGCAAACCTATAATCCCAGCAACTCTTGAGGCTGAGGCAGGAGGATGACAAGTTGGAGGCCAGCCTCAGCAACTCAGCGAGATCCTGTCTCAAAATAAACTGGCTTCTGAGTAGTTGCTGGTAGTTTCTGTCTTGGTTTATCACATGGATTTTTGGGAGAGGAGAGAATCGAAAAGGCATTTTGTTCAACAGGTAATTAAATTTTGTTCGTATTTGTTTTGAAAATATGCTAGGCTACCTTTATTCCTTGTGTCCCTCCATGTTTTGGAAGGCTTGTGTCGCTTTAACAATTGAAATAAAGAAAACCAGTTGAGCTCCAGGCCTGGTGGTGTAATCCTAGTGACTGGGAGGCTGAGGCAGGAGGATCACAGGGTAGAGGCCAGCCTCAGCAACTTAGCGAGGCCCTAAGCAATTTAGCAAGAGTCTGTCTCCAAATCAAATATAGAAAGGGCTGGGGATGTGGCTCAGCGGTTAAGTGCCCCTGGGCTCTGTCCCCGGTACACACGCAGACACATATACAAGGACCATGATGGTCACAAGCCCCCTTACCTTTCTGACCACGAGGCTGAGAGGAGTGACACACTCGGGCGTGTCGTTGCGGGAGTTGTTCACCACGGAGGAGACGGGGTGGAAGGTGATGTTGTCTGTGGGGTGGATCAGCTTCAGGGCTTCCTGGGTAGACACCTCTCCAAAGTCGAGCCACTTGGACACAGCCTCCTCTCCATCCAAAATGGCAGGCATCCTAGCCCATGGGTCAGGAGGGCGGGTGGGGAAGGTTGTGGGGTAGGAGAGGGAAGAGAGATCGGTCAGCTAGTAGGTGACAGGCCATGAGGAGGAGCTGGCCTGCCCTCCGTCCCTCGTGTGACAGGCTCCCCCTCGGCACAACCCGAGAGGGCTCCAGAGTCAACATGGAGACCCCAGAATGAGCGTCACGCAACACAGTGGAGAGGCTACAACCAATCCCACTGCAAGCCACTGAACATTCTAGAAAACTAATGAACTTTCTTTGAGGCCTCAGCCTAAATTTAAAGACTAGATCTCTCCACAAAAATCTCCAGCCTCCCCAAATGAGAAAGGCCTACAGTAAGCCAGGTGCAGTGGCGCACGCCTGTCATCCCGGTGGCTCGGGAGGCCGAGGCAGGAGGATGGCAAGGTGGAGGCCAGCCTCAGCAACTTAGCAAGGCTCTGAGCAACTTAGCGAGACCGTGTCCCAAAATAATAAATAAATAAATAAATAAAGGGGGCTGCAGATGTGGCCCAGTTTCTGGGTTCCATTCCCAATACCAAAACCAACCAACCCAAAAAAGTGTTTTTGATGAAATATAAGAAATTGTTTAAGGTTAATTAGCAAAATAGAAAATCATATGAAAGTGCAGATACAGGTTGGGACCAGGCCAACAGCACCAGGGAGAACAGTACGTTCTTCTCAGGAGAACACCCCAAAACCACCGAGGACGGTGTTCAGATGTGGCAATAACTGCGAAGGTGTCACCCAAGCAGGCGGCTCTGTGGATGTCTGTTTGGAAATTGCAAATCTCTTCCAATGTGGCTGAGATCTCGGGGATCCAGTGGAGTATGAAGAAAATATTGCATTTGCTTTTGCAGAATTTCATCTGAGGAAATGTGAGGGCCCCAGAGAAACTGAGCCTTGTAGGAACACACACACAGTCTCACATACTCATTCTCTCAATATCTCAAACATGTCTTAGTTTCCTGGCTCAAACATACCAGGCAGTCTGGGGTGCAGCGCTTGCCTGGCACGTGGGAGGCCCTAGGTTTGATCCTTAGCACCACATAAAAATAAATAAATAAAGGCAGGTGCAGTGGCGCACGCCTGTCATCACAGCAGCTCAGGAGGCTGAGGCAGGAGGATCCCAGGTGGAGGCCAGCCTCAGCAACTTAGCAAGACCCTAAGCAACTCAGGGAGACCCTGTCTCTAAATAAAATATTAAAAAGGGCTGGGGACGGGGCTCAGGGGTCCACAGCCCCTGAGTTCAATTCTCAGTACCAAATAAATAAATAAATGAAATAAAATAAAGGTATTGTGTCCTCTATCAAAAAAACAAAACAAAACAAAAAAACCCAGTGAGTCATTGCAGATGGAAGCATTTTAAATACTGAACAGAAGCTTGAAGTAATAAAGCATCTTGAGAGAAAAAAGAGAACACGTGATCATCTCCAGAGCAACGGGTATAGACAAATCCATATCAGTGACAAGGATGTAAAAATAAATGTCCCGGCTGGAACCACTTTCCAAATACTGTGAAGGCATGAGAAGATTCTTTAGCATTTGGACTGAATTAACTTCTCTCATAAAGAAAAAAGCACGAGATACACATGATGGGTTTGGTGGGTAACATGACTCTGCTTTCCAGAGCTTTCTGTGGATGGGAGAAGCCACAGTACAGAGAGAAATGGCACTAAGGATTTCCAGCAGTGCACGCCTGTCATCCCAGCAGCTCAGGAGGCTGAGGCAGGAGGATCGCAAGGTGGAGGCCAGCCTCAGCAATTTAACGAGGCCCTAGGCCACTCGAGGAGACCCTGTCTCAAAATCAAATAGAGCGAGGTACAGTGGCGCACACCTGTCACCCTAGCAGCTTGGGAGGCTGAGGCAGGAGGATCAGGAGTTCAGAGCCAGCCTCAACAAAAGCGAGGCCTGAGCCACTCAGGGAGACCCTGTCTCTAAATAAAATACAAAATAGGGCTGGGGATGGGCTATTCATTGGCTCAATTTTCTTTTTTTCCTGATTAATCCCAGGACCTCCTGTGCCAGGTAAGGACTTTCTATTGAGCTATGTCCTTGCTCTGTCATTGTGTTTTATTTTTGGTCCCAGAGAGGGAACCCACTGAGCCACAACCCCAGCCCCTATTTATTTATTTATTGAGATATTCATCTTTTAGCTTTAGGTGGACACAATATATTATTTTTTTTTTATTTTTTATGTGGTGCTGAGGATCAAACCCAGTACCTCATGCATGTTAGGCAAGTGCTCTGCCACTGAGCCACAAGCCCAGTCCCTGAGACCTCTTCATTTGTTTTGAGACAGGGCCTCATTAAGTTACTGAGGCTGGCCTCCAACTTGTGATCCTCCTGCTTCAGCCTCCCCAGCTGCTGGAATTACCAATGTGTACCACTGTGCCTGCCTCTGATTGGTTCTTGTCAGGTAATTTGGTCACAGCCGTGTCTGTGCCTATGTTGTAGCTGGACTGATGATAACTATATTTTGTACAATTTTAGTTTTCCGGAAGCTGCCTATCTAAAAGCAGAGGACAAACCCTTGTTGGAATCTTTCTGGACCCAAGGCTGAGACGCGTGACTTGCCTGGGGTGGATGTCGGTAAGGCTTTTGCAGGAGTCCACGGTGATGATGGTATAAGAGTACAGGGGGTCTCCCCCCTCTGGGGGCTCCCAGCAGTCAAAGATCCCCGCCATGGTGAGCAGCCTCCAATTGTCCCAAGCTTTCCCCCAGGTCTCAGCGCTATCCACAGCCCCGGTGGCGTCTTCTGCCTAGAAGCACAAGGGCAGAGGATGTGCTCAGAGGCCACCTTCACACACGCCGGCCACCTCTGCAGGCTGGACAGCTCGGCACACGCCTGCAACCTCGGGTACTCGAGGCAGGAGAATCCCAAGTTCAAGGCCAACCTGGGCAACTTGGTTCTTTTTCTTTTTGAGGGGTGTGGAGGGACCAGGGATGGAACTCAGGGGCCTGAGCCCCATCCTCAGCCCTTTTTCTATTTTATTTAGAGACAGGGTCTCGCTGAGTTGCTTAGTGCCTCACTAAATTGCTGAGGCTGGCCTCCACTTTCGATCCTCCTGTCTCAGCCTCCCAAGTCACTGGGATGACAGGCGTGGTTACTCTTGTTTCTTGCTGAAGTAACTTTCCTCTGTCCAAAACACAGGTTTTGACCTTTCTTCTTTGTACTCCTACTTATTATTCAAGATTGAGTTTAAGAGCTAGAATATAGAAAGCTGGAAAAAATATCACTTCTACCTTAACAATAAGAAAAAAGCCGCATCATTTCCACAATCATAATTTTCTCTAAATGCATCAGAGAAGTGAGGTTGCTGAGCAACCAGTGTGCTGAAAATTTAAGACAGGAGCTCCAGGAGGAAGCGGAATGGAAATACTAGATGATTGTGACAAAGGGAGGAAGGCAGGGCCTTTGTACAAACCAGCAAGCCATTAAGAAGTCAGATATATCATCTTTTTTTTAGTGACACCCCAGAACCCAGGGGTGCTCAACCACGGAGCCATGTCCCCAGCCCTTTTTAGTTTTTGTCTTGAGACAGGGTCTTGCTAAGTTGCTTAGGGCCTCCCTAAATTGTGGAGGCTGGCCTCAAATTTGTGATCCTTCTGCCTCAGCCTCCTGAGCGGCTGGGGTTACAGTCACGTGCCACAGTACCCAACTATTATCAAACTCTTAAAAGCAGAGTATGGGCAAACCTGAGGGAGACAGAACCCCCAAGCACTGCAGCCACTGGGGGAGTTTTTACCAGCTTGAAGGCTCTTCTCCATGGACCTTACGGGGTGTTCATGTGAAAGAGTGGAAAGAGGGAAGAAACTTCGAGGAATCCAAGTGTGGTGGTGCATATGAGTAATCCCAGCCATTCAGGAGGCTGAGGCAAGAGGATCGCAAGGTGGAGGCCAGCCTCAGCCACTTAGTGAGGCCCTAAGCAACCCAGTGAGACCCTGTCTCTAAATAAAATATAACATAGGGCTGGGGATGGGGCTCAGTGGTTGAGAGCCCCTGAGTTCAATCCCTGGTCACCCCCCAAAAATAAAATAAAAAAGAGCTGGGGATGTGGCTCAGTGGTTAAGCACCCCAGGGTTCAAACCCTGGTACCCCAAAATAAAATAAAACAAAATTGGGAGAGATGGAAACAACAAATGAAGACAGCAATAAAAATTATCTAAAGTGATTCACAAAAAATAGAAAAACCAAATACAGAAGAGCTCATCCAAGATCCACAGGACAAAACCAAAGCATCTAGTGCTTTTCTAAATGGAACCCCAGGCCCAGAGCGCCCCCCAGTGGTGGGGTGTGAGCTCAGCAAACTCCAGGCCCTGGGGGGCCATCTCCAGCACCAAAGGAAGACACCAGATCTCAGGAAGCCAAGAGAAAAAGAGAAGAAATACTCAAAGAGGTAACAAATGAGTGTTTTCCAAATATTTTCCATGCCAGAGATCCAAACTCCACAAAATACACTTTCTTCCCTTTCCAGATATACCCCAGCCCGCACCTGTCAATGAAGACGGTCAGCCAGGTGTGGTGTGGCGCATGCCTACAATCCCAGTGGCTCAGGAGGCTGAGGCAGGAGGATCGCAAGTTGGAGGCCAGCCTCAGGAACTTAGTGAAGCCCTGAGCAACTTACTGAGACCCTGTCTCTAAATAAAATATAAAAAAAGGGCTGGGGATGGGGTTCGGTGGTTAAGCATCCCTGGGTTCAATTGCTGGGACCAAAAAAAGAAAAGATGGGGATTAAAGCTGGGGACAGGGAGGTAAGGGAAGTGGCTTCTAGTAGGCTTCTCTTTGGAGCAATGACAATGTCCTGGAATCAGATGGTGATAATGGCTGTGTGACATTTTGAAAATGTTAAAAATCATTGTACTTTAAGAGGGGACTTTGTTGATCTGTGAATTAATTTTTTGTGGTACAGGGATTGAGCCTGAGAACACTCTTGTCACTGAGCGCCAGCCCCCTAGTCTTTGTATTTTTTAAAAAAAATATTTTTTCAGGGCTGGGATTGGGGCTCAGTGGTAGAGCACCTGCCTAGCTCATGTGAGGCCCTGGGTTCGATCCTCAGCACCACATAAAAATGAAGTAAAGATACTGTGTTCACGTACAACTAAAAAAAATATTTAAAAAAAATATTTTTTCACTTGTTGATGGAACTTTGCTTTATTTTCTTACTTTTATGTGGTGCTAAAGAGGAAACCCAGTGCCTCACGCAGGCTAGGCAGGTGCTCTACCACAGAGCCACAGCCCAGTCCTGTATTTTCATATTGTTTTTAGTTGTAGGTGGACACAACACTTTTATTTGAGTTATTTACTTTGGTGCTGAGGATCCAACCCAGGGCCTCACACGTGCTAGGCAAGTGGTCTCCCACTGAGCCCCAACCCCAGCCCCCTTTGTCTCATTTTTTATTTTGGGAGGCTGAGGCAGGAGGACCGCAAGTTGGAGGCCAGCCTCAGCAATTCAGTGACACCCTGTCTTTATTTTGAGACAGAGTTTCACTAAGTTGCTGAGGTTGGGATTGAACTCGTGAACTGTCTGCCTCATGTCCTCAGGTAGCTGGGATCACAGGGACATAGAGCAGACATGAAGATCAACAGACAGGATGGTGTGGCTGTGAGTGTCCCCAGAGTTCCCATGGGGACAATACAGGAAGGTCCAGAGGAGTGAGGGGGTGTGAGGCCTGAATCCTGGCAGTGAATGGCTCCCTGGGGGTCCCCTGGTGGCCCTTGGTGGGGTGTGGGGAGAAGGTGGCCCTGGGGCCATGGCTTGGGGTCCCTATTTGTCCCTGGAGAGTGGAGTCTCTGCTCCCTGGTCCCCATGGGAGCTGCTCCCTCCCCACACTCTTCCTCCATGATGTCCTGCCTCCCCTCGGCCCAAGGAATGGAGCCGCCTGTGGACTGGGACCTGGGACACCCTGAGCCCCACGTCCACTAGCTCCCTCTGCAGTTGTGCTGGAGGGTCTTAAGTCACATCAGTGAAAAAACTGACTAAATCAATGACCTTGACTTGTTTCTGGGTCCCTTCTTTCCCAGAGCCCGCTGTGGCCGATACCTTTTCGGTCTTGACCTGGGGGAAATAGATGAAGTAGGGCTGACTCTGGCTTGTCACTTGGCTCCGCTGCCATTCGTAGAATCCATCTGCTAAGACCACACAGCGCCGTCCCTTTCCCAGAGGCACCTGAGAGAGAAGAGGAAGATACGGTCTCAGTGGTACCCTGTGGCTTCGCAGGAGACATCGAAGAGCTTAAGTGAAAACCAGGCCCAGGGCTGGGGTGAGCCAGGAACAGGGTCCCCATGGCCCTGGCCTGGGTTCCACCCCTAGGACCGCAAACATAATACAAACCCAGGTCCAGCATGTGACCTTGGAGTTAAAAATTGTGTACCTCACTTAGATCCAGCTTTTTTCTTTCCTGGTATTAGAAACTGAACCCAGGGATGCTTAACCCCTGAGCCCCATCTTCTTTTTATATTTTATTTAGAGACAGAGTCTCACTGAGTTGCTTAGGGCCTCGCTTTGTTGCTGAGGCTGGCCTCCACCTTGTGATCCTCCTGCCTCAGCCTCCCAAGCTGCTGGGACGACAGGTATGCACCACCACACCCAGTTTCTCCTTTTTTTACTAATCGACTCATGCCTACCCCTCGGAGTGAGGTGTCTTGAAATCTTTCTGGCGTGTTCACAAGCACTGACAAGAGAGAATCACCCTAGCTGCCTTGGCTCCGCAGGAGGCCCCTGTTCTACATTCATCCCTCGCTCCTCCCATCGGATCACAAGTACATGAGAACCTCAAAATAAAAACTGCCTCCCAGAGGACAGTCAATCCACAGAACATAAGATGTGACTGTTCTGTTGTAAAGTCTGGCACCAACTGCACTCAACATGAACAACTGGGAATATTTTTTAGAACCTAATCTTATTCATCAGGCATACAAGGCATTCATAGCTCTTAGGAAAAAAGAGGAGTGTGTGCCTTTCCCCACCTTGAAGGACCGTTTCTCCAAGATGGTGTCACTGCGACAGTTGGTGATGTTGAACGGCATCTTGGAAAGATCGGTTTCTTTGAACCAACATGGGACCAGGCCCCATCGCATGGGGGCAATGACCCGCTCTGATGAGTCTGCGCCCTGCCACAGAAAAAGGAGAGTATAATAGTAACAAAATTTTCCAGTTGTGGAAGGACATGCCTATAATCCCAGCCACTTGGGAGGCTGACATAGGAGGATGATACACAAGGAAGCCTGTACATGGATTTTTCTAGATTCCTACTTGTATTTTTTTGTTGTTGGTGGTCGTATTAGGGAGTAAAACCCAGGGATGCTCAACCACTGAGCCACATCCCCAGCCCCCCAGTCCTTTTTATTTTTTATTTTGAGACAGGGTCTCACTGAGCTGCTGAGGCTGACCTCCAACTTGAGATCCTCCTGCCTCAGCCTCCCAAGCAGTTGGGATAAGTGAGTGACACCACACCTGGCCACAGGATAATGTTAAGAATTAAAGATAACAATGGGGCCCGGAATTGTGGCTCTGTGGTAGAGCACTCGCCTAGCATGTGAGGCCCTGTGTTAATTCTCAGGAACATATAAATAAATAAAATAAAGGTCCATTGAAAACTAAAAAATAACAATGACAGGTACACACCTGTGATCCCACCCAGTCAGGAGGCTGAGGCAGGAGGATTGCAAGTTGGAGGCCAGCCTCAACAACTCGGTGAGGCCCTAAGCAACTCAGTGAGACCCTGTCTCTAAATAAAACATAAAAAAGGGCTGGGGATGGGGCTCAGGGGCTGAGCACCCCTGGGTTCAATCCTGAGTACAAAAAAAAAAAAAAAAAGCCAATCAACTGAATTCAGATTTCAATTTCAATAGAAATCTGCAAGACAACTATTCTACCTCTGAGTTCTCAACTTTGCACACTGACATATCTCTCCGCAACACACAGAAACTTCTGGTAATGGCCGGGGTCACTTTGGGTTATTGTGACATAGAGGGGTGCTCCTGGTACTTAGGAGCAGAGGCTAGGGAGGCTGCTGAACATTCTAGCCTGCACTGACCCTTCCCACCAGTGGCCCACGCCTGTAATCCCAGCAGCTAGGGAGGCTGAGGCAGGAGGATCACAGTTAGAGGCCAGCCTCAGCAACATAGCAAGGACCATCCATGATGATGTCACCAGTGCCTAGGGTGAGGCTTGTTCCCACCACTTCTATTGGTGACCTTTAACTGAGTGGGTTCATTGGACAACTGTAAACCAAACCCACACGTGAGGACATGCACAGGAAGTGGGTGAGAAGCCCAAGTGCTGAGGATAGTGCCTGGTATTAGTCACCTTTTCCATTTTGGTCCCTCAACAGAACAGCTGGGGGCATTGGGGTGGATAGATCAAAGAGGAAGCAATTTGCAAAGTGGCGGTTTCAAATGCAAATACTGCAATCTAGATGCACAGGCTGGCCAAATGAACTGCTGAAGTATTTCTAATTTGTTTCACAAATTACAGGTTTGAGAAATATGAAATATGAAATATTTATCAAATTATGAAACACAGGCGATCTTTTTTTATTTTTTTCTGGTACCAGGGATGGAACCCAGGGGCGCTTAACCCCTGAGCCCTGTCCTCAGCCCTCTTTATATTTTATTCAGAGACAGGGTCTCCATAAGTTGCTGAGGCTGGCCTCCAACTTGCGATCCTCCTGCCTCAGCCTCCCAAGCTGCTGGGATGACAGGCACGTGCCACCTCACCCATCTAAACCGTGAAATCGTAACCAAACTTATTAATGAGATGTATGGTCTAACAGCACATTAGAAAATTCCTAACAGTGACCCAAATGGGGACTGTTTGCTTCTACCTCCCCTAGTTCTGGTTCTAGGATCCATTAATTGGAATGGGGATTGCTATCGGGAATTCAGTTCCAGCTTTGCCTTTGCTGATCAGGCAACCTAGGACAAGTCCCCATCTTTCTGTTCAACAATATTTTGTTTCCAGTGGACCTCCATTCAGTAAGTCTTCAGGGATTTGGAAGAGAACTAGGGGCTAACAGCATAGAAGACTCACACACTGATCTCCCTTCCTTCTAAATTCTGTCTTCCTTTTAAATATGTCTCATCTTTTCCTTTCCCCTTTGAGGGTCTCCTCTTTTGTGTGGGGAGGTCAGGGATTGAACCCTAGGGGTGTTTAACCACCAAGCCACATCCTTAGCACCCCCCTTTTATTTTTTAATTTTGGGTACCAAAAATTGAACCTAGGGGCACTCAACCACTGAGCCACATCCTCAGCCTATTTTTATATTTTATTTAGAGACAGGGTCTTGCTGAGTTTGCTTAGTTCGTCGCTAAACTGCTGAGGCTGAATTTGAACTCATGATCCTCCCATCTTTAGCCTCCCTAGCTACTGGGATTACGGGCGTGTGCCACTGCACCTGGCCTTTATTTTTTGAGACAGGGTTTTGTTAAGTCGCTTAGGGCTTTCCTAAATTGCTGAGGCTGGATTTGAACTTGTGATCCTCCTGCCTCCGCCTCCAGAGATTTGTGGGATTATAAGTGTGAGCCACCATGTCCACAGTTGCTGCCTTAAATAAAAAAAATAGAAAAAAAAACTTTCCCTCCAAATAAAAGTCTTACAGAAATCGGGCATGCATTATGGCTAGCATGTCCAGTATAGTGAATGCACTTAAATTGAGCCCCGGGGAATAGTGAATCAAGTCCTCAGGTTATAAAGCAATAATATAACTACTTTCATTAAGGTTTAGAGTGGTTCTCATCTGGGGGCCAGAATATATTGATAAAAGCTGATTTAAATGTAATCCCAGCAGCTAGGGAGGCTGAGGCAGGAGGATCACAGTTGGAGGCCAGCCTCAGCAATTTAGCAAGGCTCTAAGCAACTCAGGAACATCCTATTCTCTAAAGAAAATACAATAAAAGGACTGGGGATGTGGCTTAGTGGTTAGGTATCCCTGGGTCCAATTTAGGAAAACAAAATGTAATCCTAAATTAGTGGCTCTATTATTTGAAACCGTGTATCATCGAATTAAAAAATAAAAGAGCAAATTAAAACAAGGACAGTGGTAAAGCACCCCTGTGCTCCATCCCCAGTACTGCTGAGTGGAAACTGGTCCAGTCGGGATCCAACTGGTTACCTTCTCCAAGTGCAGCCGAGACAGCAGCACCGGGCTGCTGGACTGGGGGCTCTTGTTGTAAGAGGGGTAGTACTTCTCGGGGTCTCTCCACTCTGGGAGTCGCTGCTGGCCCTGTCGATCGTGATAGGCACAAGCTCTCGTGAGGACATCTCTAGGTAAGTGACAGGAGGTGCGCCCACACATTCTTCAGCTCGGCCTCCCTTCTCACCACCTTTAAATACAAAACATAAGGAGAAGGTTTATACATGAAATATCAGATCTTTTTTTGTTACCAAGGATGGAACCCAGAGTGCTTAACCCCTGAGCCCCATCCCAGCCCTTTTTCGTATTTCATTTAGAGTCAGGGTCTCGCTGAGTTGCTGAGGGCGTCACTAGAGGCTGGCCTCCAACCCGCGATCCTCCTGCCTCGGCCTCCTATCGGGATGGCCTGGTGAAATGTCAGGTCTCAGTCACAGCGTCCTCCTGCGATTTCCAGGTTCTACTACTCGGGACCCCCAAGCTCCATCAGGACAAGGATCCGCCCCTTTGGCTCAACACCCTGGCCCCACGGTGCGGCCCTGGCAGTTAATTTAATTGCATTAAAGTATCGGACGCTCCCCAAATAGTTGCCCGGATGCAACTCCCCGAGGAGGTGGGTTTCCTGGAGCAGCCAAGAAAGAGTGGGGCCCCTGGCGCTGCCCTCTGGGCGACCCTTGCTCCCGCCCTTCTCTGTCTGTCCCCGCAGGCGCCGGCGACCCCGCTGAGGGGCACCGCTCACCTCGGGCCCGCGCAGGGCTGCGAGGCGGTGTCCGGGCCGGAAACGCGGCTCCCTCCCGCCGCCCGCTGCCCGCTGAGGCCCGAGGCCCAGGCTGGACCCCGGCGGCGAACGCGCTCCGGGCTCAGCTCCCGGGTCGCCGGGTGCAGGTGGCTCCGTAGCTGCCGCGCGCCCCGCCCCTGCCCCACGTCACCTAGCGCCGGCCCGGCAGTCCCGCCTGGTGGCCCGCGTCGCCTCACCCTCGGGCGTCGGAGTCCAGAGGCCCCGGCCGCCCGCGTCGCCTCACTTCACCTCCCGTTCGCGCCGCGCTCAGCCGGGACGCTGCGCGCCTGCGCCAGGCCCCGCCCCAACCAGCCTCGGCTCCGCCCCTGAGTCAGCCCCGCCCCAAAGAGGCGGGACGTCCGCGTTAATGCGTCGCGGGATTCCGTTCCTGTGGCCCCGCCCCCGGGCAAGCCCCACCCAAGAGGGCGGGCCGTCCGCGTTGATGCGCCCCGGGATTCCATTCCCTGTGCTCCGCCCCCAGGCCAGCCCCGCCCCAGAGGGCGGGCCTTGCTACCTTTCCCTGTGGCCCCGCCCCCAGGTGAGCCCCGCCCCAGAGGGCGGGCCTTGCTACCTTTCCCTGTGGCCCCGCCCCCAGGTCAGCCCCGCCCCCAGGTCGGCCCCGCCCTAGAGGGCGGGCCGCGCCCCTGCGGGTTCCCTTCCCTGGGCTCCCAGGACAGACTGACCGAAAGGCGCCTGGGTTCCCTCCCCCGTGGCCCGTCCCCCAGGGAAGGGCCCTTGCACCCGGGCACCAGGTCATCGTGGGGGTGAAGTCTTCATTTCAGGCCTGACAAGGACAGAACCCGAGCCACCCAGGAGCGCGTCCCGGTCACACGAACACCCTCGACGTTTGCTGGGCACACGAGGCCACCCCAAAAGAAAACCACCCAAATGGAAGGCACCTTCTCCACATCAGGCTCCACGAGTGTATTTTGGCCACAGCTGTTGTCACCAACTGGCTCGAGCTGAAAAGCTGCTCTGTTGGAACTTAACCCAGAAAGGCCACCGATCAGCGCAGATGGCCTTCATCCCAGTCACTAAACCGGCCGCCTGGAAGCAAAGTCCCAGCCACCTCAGACCTGATGCCAGGTGTGACCCCACGGGTGCATTAACTGCAGTGGGGTCAGCAGTGCCAAGACGGCAGGGGGCATGGCTGGAGTCTCTGCTCCCTGGTCACCATGTGAGCTGCTCCTCTGCCACTCTTCCTCCATGATGTCCCCCTCGCCTCAAGCCACCAGGAATGGAGCCGGCCTCTATGGACGGAGTCCTCTGAAACCTTGAGCCCCAAACAAACTTTTCCTCCTCTAAAATTGATCAAATCAGGTCTTTTAGTCACAGCAGCGAAAAGTCTTACTACCCTAGGCAGATGCCAGGTTATCATCCATGAAAGGGAGGGCTGAGGCCCCAGGAGACCACCCCGGAGCTGGTCACCTGCTGTCACTCACTTGGCAAACCTTACTGCTCCTGACCAGGCCTGGTGCTCGGGCAGTGTGAGTAGGAGATGATATACAACATCACTGGGGCAAGGGGGACACAGTCCTCCACCAGGGAGGCCTCCCCGGGGGAAGTGGAGGCCGGGGCAGGAGTCTGCAGAAGTAGTAGTCGTTCAATAAATACATGCTGATTTATTATAGTATTAAGGTCGTTTCTTTGGGGATAAATTGAGGTGTAAACATTTTTTTACCCAACTGTGACGCCCCTCCCCTCTCAGGCAGCACTGCAAGACCTAGGCCAAGCTAAAATAATCCTCTATTAAAAACAAAAAAAGTTACTCCCTAGGAATTCTGGGATAGGGGGTGGGATTTTTAAAAATCCACACGATGGTTCCTGATTGGTTTTGGATACAAAGGCTTGGGAAGGGTCTCCACCTGTTTGATGGGGAAGCAGGATTTTTCGACTAGTGTTGGGGGAAAGGACTGAATGGGCTCTTGCAGACTGATCCCTTAACCCACAGAGGCCAAGATGACGTCCACTGGCAGCTCCTCTGAACTTCTGGCTGTCACCTGCATTGTCACTGTGTCCAAAAGCAGCAGCCGGGAGCGCACGAGGATGTCGTGACCGCCCCGGAACACGCCTGAAGGAGAAGAGGGGGAGAGGGAGGTGAGGGAGAGGGAGGTGAGGGAGGGGGCAGGCAGAGGGTGGCCTTGGTAGAGGCTGGTCAAGGTGGCTCTGCAGGAGAGCTGGGGGAGGCCTGACCACTCTGAGCTCCCGAACTCAGGGAATGATACCAACCACGTTTCCAGTTTTCTCCAAGCCCTGATGAATCATGGACATGGGACATTTGTACCTGATGTCACAGAGGCTACATCTGACGGCACAGATGGAGGGGACAGCCCCAGCAAGAGAAAACCGCAGAGCAGGTGTCTACAAGACCCAGGGGACTGAGCTACTTCAGTGTGGCCACAAATGATGGGTTTGGGGGCTGTCAGCTGTGCGCAGGCAGCCAAGCAAAGCGTCCTCCCTCCGCTGTTTATAAACACTCAGCTAAAAAAAAAATCCCATTTCCTTTCCTTTAAAAAAAAAGAATTTTTTTTTTTGGGGGGGTACCAGGGATTGAACTCAGGGGCACTTGACCACTGAGCCCCACCCCCAGCCCTATTTTGTATTTTATTCAGAAACAGGGTCCACATTGAGTAGCGCCTTGCCCTTGTCGAGGCTGGGTTTAAAGTCATGATCCTCCTGCCTCAGCCTCTCAAACCAGTGGGGTTACAGGTGTGTGCCACCGTGCCCGGCCCCCATCTCCTTTTCTTGATTGTTTTAGGCATGATAACTGCATCGGCCTTTTGGCATTGAACACAGGATCATGCCAGGTGCAGGTGGTGCATATCCGTCATCCCAGCCTCTACCTTGTGATCCTCCTGCCTCAGCCTCCCGAGCTGCTGGGATGACAGGCATACACCACACTGTGCCTGGCTGGGAGTCGGATACCTCGTTAAAGACCTTTTTACACTTCAGGAATTTTTAATGCAGTAAAAAAAAATTTGTTTTTTAGTTGTGGATGGTCTCAATGTCTTTGTTTCTATGAGGTGCTGAGATGGAACCCAGTGCCTCACCCTTGCAAGGCACGTGCTCTACCACTGAGCCACGACTCCCGCCCCACGAGCAGCAGCTTGCCGACTCCCCATGTTCACAGGGCGTCTGCAGCCCAGGGTCGGGGTACCCCACCGAGACAGCTCACCTGCCAGGAGCAGTGCGTGGGTATTCTTGTTCTCCGGGACCCTGTCAGACCTCTCGCAGGGATGCATTCCTAAGAACTTCACGATGTTGCCCACAGCCTCTGGAGGAGAGACCAGGGCATAGAGTCATGTATCTTTTGTGTGGTTTTGTATGTGTGAGGTTCTGGGGGTCAAATCCAGGGCCTTCCACATGCTAAGGACGCCTTCTAGTGGGCCACGTCCCCAGTCCCAAGTCATGTATCTTGTGTCTCTCTCTTTTTTGGATTCCAGGGATTAAACTAAAGGCGCTTCACCCCTGAGCCCCGTCCCCAGCCCTTTTTTATATTTTATTTAGAGACAGGGCCTCGCTAAGTTGCTTAGGGCCTTGCTCAGTGGCTGAGGCTGGCCTCCACCTTGCGATCCTCCTGCCTCAGCCTCCCGAGTTGTTGGGATTATAGGTGTGCTCTTCTTTTGGGCACTGACACCCTGCTGAGTGGCTTTTAATAAAGTGGCGTTAAAGGTATGTGCTCTAGACATGGTCCTGGATCCTTGGAAGCAAAAGGAATGAACTCTGAAATAACACCCGAGGGTCCTGGAGGGCAGCAAGGTCAGGGACGGCATCCTCAGGATTTTACCTTCCAGAGTCTTAATGGTGGACAAGGTGAACGTCTCCTCCTTCTCAAACTCATCCCCTACCTCGTCCCAGGCGGCTTCGAAGTTTACTTTCATGACCTTCTGGATGTGATCGGCTACGGTGACTTCCAGGTCTTCCAGCTGCAGAGGTACAGGTAGAAGTCAGTCACCCATCCCCGTGGGACAGACGCCTGCCCTGTGTCCGTCAGGGCTGCTGCTCTGAACCCCTCTCCCAGGCCCCCTGCACCCTGCTCGGCAGGTGTGCCCAGGAGGCACCGAGGACACCAAGGGCTCCCGAGACACAGAGCACCTACTGGGTGCCCACAGCCACGAGAACGCGCTGACCCCAGGAACCAGCCCACGACACGGGACTCGTCCTAGACTTCTCTCTGTGGGACACGATCTTTGTGGGCCTGCCTGCAGCCAGAGCCTGGGGACCGGGTGTCCAGGGACTACGGGAGGAGCTGAGGCCGATCCCTTGCCAGTCACTCACAGGGGTGAGGTCCAAGGGAAGCCACCATTTCTTTTTCTTTTCTTTTTATTTATCTATTTTTGGGGGGAAGCCCCGCCCTATTCTGTATTTTATTTAGAGACAGAGTCTCGCTGAGTTGCTCACTAAGTGGCTGAGGCTGGCCTCCACCTTGCGATCCTCCTGCCTCAGCCTCCTCAGCTGCTGGGATGACAGGCGTGGGCCACTGTGCCTGGCCAGACCATTCTTTTAATCTACTGAAGCTCAGTGGTAGAGCACTTGCCTGGCATGTGTGAGGCTCTGGGTTCGAATCCCAGCACCACATTAAAAAAAAAAAAACTAAATAAACAAAATAAATGTTTTGTGACCATCTACAACTAAAAAATAAAAGAAAAAAGAAAAACAAAAAAAGCCATAAAGCCAAATCAGCACGGAGAAGATGGGTCGGACGGTGGCCTCCTCCTTACCACGTACTCGTCCTCGTAGCCTTCTTCGTCGGTCTCCCCGGTGGTGGGGTCGCAGTCCTTGACAGTGAACTTCATCATGCAGCTGAACGTGCAGGCCACTGTGGGGAAGCAAGGCTGTGTGGCCAGGATGTCCCCAGGCCACATGGGGTCAAGGTCCTCCTTAGGCAGGGCCACAGCCTTTCCCCTAGGCTTCTGCTATGTTATCAATAATGGTGACATGTCACCCACCCCGGCTGGCTGTACTGAATGAAGGTGCCACCTCGTAGGACAGCGGTCACGTCATGTGTCCAAGGCAGAGGCAGAGACAATGCAGACTGGCTGCGTCCATGTCATGGCCCCCGGCCACTGTCCAAGGTGTGGACAAGGAGCTGGTGGCTCCAGAAGAAGGAGGGGACTAGGCAGAACTGAGTGTCCAGGGCCACTGGACCTGCCGCAGCTCCCTCAGCTACGAGAGGAAAGCAGCGCTCATGTCCCCAGGGGGACAGCGGGGCAAGGACTCTGGCTATGTCCCTGTCACCACCACGACAAATGAC